GAACTAATTCTGATCGGTGCATCTTGAGATATACGATGTCAAACTTAGTGTTCGGAAACTTTTGGGTACCCTCTGTATCTGTTATAAGAGATATCTTTGAATTAATTTATGAAATTTCATCTCTTAAATTACTTCTTCTTATATTATAATTTTTATAAAATTGTCTTTTAAAGTTTGTTTACATGATAAAATATAATGAGAATTCAAATTATTGACGAACAATTTAAATTCAGGATTTTCAATAATAGAAAAAGGTTGTAAATTAGTTGCAACAGCATCAATCAAAGAATTTGTGATTGATTTGAATTGTGATGGGAAATAGGATTTAAAGTGCTTTTCTTTCAAAGTAATTTGATGATTTTCAGGCTTTTATAATATAATGAATGTTTTTTAGTTAAATGATTTCAAAGTGTTATTGTTGGATTGCCAGGGGAATAAAGTTTAGTACATAAAATGCATTTATAATTTTTAATTAGTCTATTTTACTCATATAGAACTTTAAAAAAAATTCCACATGTCTAAATTACAAGTTTTTATTGTATGAGTTTCTTTTCAGCTAAGAAAACTGAAGAAACATCTGAAATATTGTCATTATTTTCATAAGAAATATCACTAGACATATTTGCAATACAAATAATAATGCAAAATGATTGTAATTTTAGTTAAATGATCAATAATCAACACTTTTTTTCAGTTATGTAACATTATAGATTTAAATTAGATTGTCATTTAAATCAGTCTAAAAATCAGTTCAATTTGACTCAATTTCAGTTCAATATTAACCCTCAAACTAAACTGAAACTGGTTTTATAATCAGATAATAGTCTGAACTGTTCAATCACAGACTATAACATCCTTACAATTTCCTTACTTCTAATAATTTGAATTATTTTTTTTTATCGTATTATAAATAAATTGATCATATCACAATATTAGGTTATATAAACAATAAAATTAACAATTTGAAAAGTTGGCTTTTTTTGATTAAATATATTTTAATATACCTGACAGAAAAATAATTATAAATAACTTGACTTTTTTTAAAAAAAATCTCTATGATATTTTTATTTTATTTTTAAAAAAATTAAAGACATTTGTAACTACACTTAAAATATTGACAAAAACAATATCAAGATAAATATTAGTGATAGCAGACTTAATAACAATCTTATTGATGTCAAATTATCTTTACCTCTAACTCTAACAAAATATAATATTAAAAATAATATTAAGTCCAACTTACTAAATAAAGGTAAAGCAAAAACATTTTTAAACACTTTTATCATATTGTTACGTCTGATTTGTAACTCAAATAAAATTCATAAAAATTAATAATGCTAAGACTAAATTCAGGTAATCACAATAAAGATTCGTAATAAACGTCAAAGATTATTCTCAATTACACATAAGTAACTTCTGGATATTTCAGAGATTACGTTTCATTGACTACACCTTAAGTCAATATAACGAATCAATACAATACCACACAAAATTAGTAAACAATAATAATATATACATAGGTTAAAGGGTTGCGAAGGATAAGTTTTAACTTTGTTAATTATATACTCTTTATTAATAATATAATAAATTGTAAGTTCTTTATCTCATAAGGTATTGAGACTTAATAAAAATACGGTGATATTTATATATGTTTGATAATTATAAAATGAACTAAACTAAATAAATCCATGAAAAATAAATGATATTGTCAAGGAAATAAAGTTGACAAAATTGATCAGCAAAGATGATCATATTAATAAAGTTGTCTATTACACTAGAAATAAAATTGATATCTGAATCTACAATGTTTCACATTGATTATCTTAGGACATAAAGTTGACATCAGGATCGATGAGATGATAAATAAGGACATTTAATTGACATTGGATTTGTAATCAGATTTTAGCCAAAATTTTACACTGTTATATTATATTTTCCTCTTCTTTGATTTGAGCTCTGTTGAAGAATCTTTCTTTCTTCTTTTAATACGTTTGGATAAAGCTGATGAAGTAATTCCAAGTTTTTGAATATACTCGTTTTGCATTTTTCTTTTCCTAATGAGTTCTTTAGGAATTTCACTTTTAATAAGTTCCACTTCAGTGTTTTCTTGATAAACTTCATCCATTATGGAGATTAATTCTTAAAATTAGTTTTTTCCCAAAGGTTGAGTATGTTTGAAAGAAGTTTAGCTTCATTTTCTTTGATTATATGTCTTGCATTTTTAACTTTTTCAACATCAGATTTGTATTTGTTGATGAACTGATTCATTTATTGGAAATTTTTAAAACTCATTTTGTAAAATTTAAGGTTTTGACAAGAAATTTTAGGTCCTTTTATACTTTTGACAATATTTATTCCAAATGAATCACAGGGTTCCAATTTTGTCGATCATTATAAATCTTCAATAAACTTGCATTGATTGGTATTATAAGAATTCGTCTATCTGTAGATCTTAACTTATAAGCTCCATTCAACAATTTGTCATGAATATAAAATGGTCCTTTCCATTTATCTTCTAATTTTTCAGTCTAAGTCTTTTCTTTTGCAGTTTCGTATAATATGACTTTGTCTCCTATTTGATATTATATAGGTTTCTTTATTTTTGAATCATGCTGTCTCTTTTGATTTTCCTGTGCTTTTGTAACATTTTTTTTTGCTTTCTGTCGATTTATTTCTAAATCTTCTAAATTTGATTCCAAAGTTTTATTTTCAAAAATGATGATTGGAAGCCTTGCTTCTCTTCCATAAGTCAAATAAAATGGTGTGTACTTGATAGTAGAATTTTTCGCAGTTCGATAAGCAAATAATACTGAATTTATAACAGTATCCCATTCTTGCAAATCTTTTGTTGTCTTTGCTATAGATTCACATAAGGTTTTATTAAATCTCTTAATTAATCTATTAGTTTGAGGATGATAGAGTATAGGTAATAAGTGCTTGATTTCAAACTTATTCATTAATCCATTTGCTACTTTATTTCGAAAATGTGATTCTCAATCAGAAAGTATATATTTTGGACATCCATATCAACATATTATATTTTCATAAATAAATTCTACAACTGTGTTTGTGTCAGCTGCAGGTTTTGTACTTGCTTCAAGCCATTTAATTAAATAATCAGTTGCTACGATTATGATAAAGGTTCTATGAAATCTATTCAAATTTTCTCAAAAGGTTTTCCAACTGGTATAGTATGTAATAATGATTTCTTTGAGGGTTTTCCTCTTTTTTGACAAGAATCACATCTTTAATATAATTCCTAATGTCTTCGAATATTTGCGATCAATAATAGTTTCTCTAATTATTTTAAAGACCTTTCAATTCCTAAGTGTCCTTCAGTTGGATGATTATGTGTTGCATAAAGAACTGTTTCTATTTTATAAATTTTTAGAACTTTAAGAAAGTTTCCTTTGTTTTTCTTGTCTTTCTTAAATAATTGATCTTCTAAAATCACAAAATGTTTTGATTGTCGTTGAATCTAATTTGCTAATATTTTATTATTTGGTAATACTGAAATAGATAAATATTCTTTCAATTGGTTATATCAATTTTCTTCCATTTTAACTTAAGCTGTCAATTACGTTGTTGACACTTTCACTTTTACTAAGTTAAATTTTTCAAACGTTAAGACTTTCACTCACTAATTGCTATTCAAATAGGTGTTAACTCTTTAAAATAAAAATAAAAATATATAAATAATATTGAAATTGACTATTTTAAAACTAAATAAATGTTAAAATAAATAATAAAACTAATAATCTGGGGTGCTAACCCTGCTACGAGTTTCATCAAAGTTAGATGAGTAAATAGGGGTAATAATAAGTGTGAACGGTCCAAACATTTCATCTAATTCATTCTCAGTCCAATCATGTGTTTGAGGATTCTTAATTGGTCTTAATAATTCAACTGCTGCAAGATATGCTTTATCATTTTGTTGTACTTCTTTGGGTATATTCCAAAATACTTTATTGATCAAAGTTTCAGATACTATTTCAGGATGTATTTGTCCAAAATTGTAATCCACAATACATTCATAGTTTAAGCTGGTGGTAATGATTGTTTCACAAAGAGTACAATTAACAGAATACTTTTGAGTAAATTCCTCAAGTTTGCTACTATTCATTTGTTTGATGGTAGCTTGCCTAAATTCAGCAGCTTTTAAGAAAATATCATGCAAGTCCTGTCTCCAACCTTATCCTCTTTCATCGAGAATGGATTCCATTTCTTCTTCGCTGAAGGTAAATTCTGATCCACTATTATCTTTTACTTGTATAAGCAATTACTTTTTCTTTTTCTTGATCATCTTTTTGTGCAAGTACTGCTCCAAGTCCAATTCAAGAGGCATCAGTAAATAAATAGAACATTCTATTAAAGTCTGGATATACAATTATTGGGCTTGTATTAACTTTTCTTTCATGATTTCAAAAGAATTTTTACATTCATTGCTCCAGTTATATTCGACTCCTTTCTTTGCAAGATTATTTAATAGTTTCGCAATTTTAGAGAAATCTTTAATAAATTTGCGATAATACGATGCTAATGCTAAAAATCCTTTAATTTGTCTCACATTTTTAGGAACAGGAAAGTTTTGTACTTTCTCTATCTTTTGGAGTCAGGTTGGATTCTATGTTCATTAATTTTGTGTCCTAGAAATCATAATTCTTTTTTGAATATTCCACATTTCTCTTTGTTCAATGCTAGATTTGCAGTTTCTAATTTATCGAAGAGCATTTGTAAATGTTTGCAATGTTCTTCAAAACTGTTTGAATAGACAATAATATTATCAATGAATACTGCTACAAATTGGTCAATATATTCTTTCAATACTTTGTTCATTGTTTTCTGAAAAGTTGCTGGTGTATTGCATAATCCAAAAGGCATAACATTAAATTAGTAATGTCTTCCCTTGATAACAAATGCAGTTTTCTCTCTATCTTTTGATTCATTTCAATTTGCCAGAATCCACTTGCTAGATCAAAAGTAGAAAACCATTTTGATCCATTCAAACTTTCTAATATCTCAGCAATTCTTGGTAGAGGGTATGCATTTTCTCTTGTGAGTTTGTTTAATCCTCTATAATCAATGTATAGACGTTTTTTGCCATTTGCCTTTTTCACAAGGATAGCCAGAGTTGCCCAGGGACTGTCTGATTCTTGAATAATTCCTTCTTTCAACATCTTTTTAATTTCTCCTTCAATAAAATCTTGCTCTTCTTTTGTAATTCGATAATAATTTCTTCTAATTGGATCGGCATTTTTAGTATCAATTCGATGTTGGATTACATTAGTTTGTCCAACTTTTGTCAATTGCCCTGTTTCAGAAATATTGGTCACGAATCTACTTTCATTTTCTTTGATCAAATTATCAATTTCCTCTTATTGCTTCGTAGTAAACTTTTCATTTTCAACTTCAGGTTAAATAATTTCTGCAATATTATATGGTAAGGTATCCCATAAAATTCTGTTCAGAATTTCATCTATAAAATTTGTATGAGTAGGAGTGGTTTTCTCTCGTTTTGCCATATCTTCATATTTTAAGAAGTCAAAATGAATCCATGGTCCATTTTTGTCCTTTTCAATTTGCTCTAATTCTACATCTTTTGGTACTTTTGTAATATAAACGTTGCAATTAAATTCAGGGTCATTGAATAAATATTTAAGATTTTTATCTTTGAAAATTATTTCTGTTTTCTCTTCAGTTTTCCTAATTGCTGCCTTCATTGGTATTTTTCCCTTATCTACTTTTCCGCCAGGAGTTTGCCATAGTCCATTCATAATTTCTCTTTTTCTGATCAAGAGAAATATACCATCTTGATCATACAAAATGTTTAAAACATATTTTGGGTCCTTTACTTCTTCTTGTAAGATTCTTCTTTCATATTCTTCCATTTCATCTGCCCAGGATTGAGTAGAGGTTTCACTTTCATTATCGATATCACTTTGATAATCTGAAGTTTCAATGTGATAACTTCTCTTTTCTCAGCATCATTATCAGTATCGTATTCTAATTCTTCATCAATAATTTGGTCAATTTCTTCATCAAATATAATAGTTAGTATTTTATTTCCTATGACACATTGCACTAGAACAATAACTTTGTCAAGACCGCTTATTATGAGCATTTCATTATTGTCAAAATCTACGTTAACTTTATTTTTCTTACACCAATCTATTCTTAGTAATAAGGTTTCATCTGTTAATTCAATGACTTGAAAGGTTGTTTTGATAAGAATTCCATGAATAATTAAAGGTACATTTTTAATTATTTCTAATGCTCTTTCTCTTTGTCTATTAGCTGTAACAATAATCACTTGTGATGCTTCTTGAATTGTTAATCCAAGTTTTTTCATTAGCTTTTTCATCATAATGCTAACTGCTGCTCTGGTGTCAATGATTGCTACTACTAAGTTTCGTTTAATATTAACATGACATCTCAATGCCATAGTTCTTTCACCTTCTTCTGTTAGATTGGTTTATGCTATATTTCCTTTTAATTTTGGTCGTCTCATTTCTTGGAAAAGTTTTCTTTGTTGTTCTCTGCATTGCATCATTTGTCCAATATTGACATTTGCTTTTACATTAACAAGGTCATCCCAAATGTTACATGGTTCGATATTATTTAAGATTGATAGTCCTCTTGGTATTCTCCTTCTTGATGTAGTAGTATTATCGACTATAGTCTCAGGAATTTCTTAAGTAATATCCATAGGTTCATTTGGTTTACTTCTGGTCTTTCTAGTTGTAGTTTCTCTTTGGGATTCAGATCTCTTTCTTCTAATTACTAGAAAAACTTCTTGTTCAAGCATGTTAACTTCTCTTTTGTTCGAGTTATTATTCTTTGTATGCCAACTTTCTTGAGGCATAACTTTTTCTGAGAGACATCTTCTTGTGATGTGTCCTTTTTCACCACATCTAAAGCAGATTACTTCTTTTCTGTCGAAGTTTCTTTCAAAGTTAGGTTTCTTTCTTTCAACATTATTAGTTATCAAAGCTGATATAATATTGACTTGATTTAATGCCATTTGTTCAAACTGCTTAATTAATTTTTCAAGATCATCCTCAATCTTTGGCTTACTAAAATCATGTTCTGTGGCATAATATCTTCCTGCTTCAACAGTTTTTGCTT